TCAAAGTCTGTGACAAATTCTGATAAATGTGCCTAGTATATTTGTCATGGTCTTAGGGGTTTTATTTCTCTATTTCTCTCTCTCTTTCTTTTTTTTTTTTTTTTTTTTTTTTTTTTTTTTTTTTTTTTTTTTTTTTTTTTTTTTTTTTTTTTTTTAAACTCGCTGTGGGTGTAAATGGTTCCAAGAATAAATTTAGAACCCAAACCAGTGCAGTTCAGGAATAAAACCATTTTGGGAAAAAGAGAAAAATCTATTCCTGCTACCAGCAAAAATCAAACCCATTTTACATAGTTTTGGACTGGAGAGGAACTGATACAAAGACGGAGAGGAGAAGTCAGAAAAATATGTTTTACTTTTGTGTGAGAGCTGCATGCTGAAAAGCACTCAAAGTAGCAATTCAGATAGGTTCCTGGGTAATCCCATTTAAATCACAAATATGAGTTTCAAGTATAGATTGTTTGCTTCCTCTTTCATCTCTGGGCCTTTATATGGTTTCACAGGATTCAAAGAAGCTATTAAATTATTACCATATTTAGCTTGGCAATATACACAATATGAAAGAAAGATTTATCTAATAAACTTTGACAGGCATGGCATATCAACCAATTTTTCCAATATACACAGAATTTCCATAGTCAGTTTTGTGGCAGATGCTGGAGATACGTTCTAAACAAAGAACCGCAAAGAGTGCTACAAGATTCATCTGAGCCAAAGGCATGGGATGCTCTCAAGGCTGCTGGAAAGTACAGTCAGTAGGATGTAGTTCCTAAGTATGGCACATTTAAGGGTAATGAACCTAAGGGTGACATCTAATCCTTGTCCTTTCTCCTTGCTCTTGCGTTCTTGCATGTCGTTTCACAGCCTGCGAAGGAACAGGATGAATGTCCTGAACAGCCTAATTTTGCTCCCTCACATTCCCTGCAGTGCCCATTTACAGCAAAACACCAGTTTGCAGGAACAAATCCACTTTGCAGACCTCAGTTACGCTGGTCCTAGTGACTGCTGTGGAAAGAAATGGAGGAAAGAGGGGACGACACATCT